ACGGTAAAAGGATTAGGCAGCGGGAATAACGATTATGTGGTAAACAAATGGATAATGATCAGAATTATGGAAATTGGCTGGACATCGGTCCACGAGTTCTATTCGAATCATTCCGTCTAATTAATGAAAATTCGTAGAAAATTATATCAGCTTCTATTATTTTTCTTATCGACGAGGAGATCCTCCGGTCGGCAGGAAACGAGTGAATTAAAATTGAAGAGCGGCTCTAGCGAAAGTCGCTCGCATAGAAAGCGATCCAGTGACGCGAGTGCTTACTCACATTTGTCGCGATGGGAGCCTCGTGCGCGCCGAGAGGGTACAATGCTCCGTTAATCAATGTTATTAAAACGACGTTTACCCTCGTGACGTTCACTCCGCGGGGTGTCCGTCGGTAACAATGACACTCAGTAGCATCGCCGTCATCCTTTTTTTTTTTTTTACGAATCTCGATTTCACGGCTGTTCCTCCCTTTTTTTAACAGACCCATCGTCAAACAGATTTCAGGTCCGCACTACATGGAAAAAAGTCTTCCACTCGGCAACGAGTCAATTTTTTTTCCTCGCTCATTCGTCCTTTTGTGATCGGATTGACGTCTTCATTGAACAGAGTCGTCACGGCTGATCGACGACCGAGATTTCCTGGTGCAAATTGAACAATTCGATGATCCGATTCTCTCGCGCTGGATGTATTGGTCGCTTTTTCTGGGTCGAGCTGATAGTATTGTCTGATCACGCGAATGTCACTACTGTTGTATTATCAGGGCGAAACCAAGTGACACCTTTCAAGTCGGAGAATCATTTATTTTAGTTCTCGATACAGAGTAAATTACTTAGTCACATTGCAATCGAATACAATAGTACAATGATGTGCAAAATACTTGGACAACTTCAGATAAGCCAATATTAATTTTTCGTAGGAAACATTATGTGATATGAATAAAATGATGTAGATCTGCAAACTAATGGAATGTAAAATTGTTGTAAATATTTTATTTCTGACTTATCGCACAGAATCGATTAACTTTGACTAAACACTTGAAGGCTGTTCACGTGGAAGTTAAAGTCCAGTCATATTTTCAATAATTACGTATTTTTCACATGACTACATCGATAAAAACTAATTTTATTTGCTAACTTGTAATAGAAACAAATCTAATTAATAAACAATAATTTTGAATAATAGTTTTTTCCTTGACGTAAATTTGCATGCATGCATGTATCTATATTGATATAAACTAGTTGAGCGTTCATAAATTAATGTTTATGTACTAATTTATAATGCAAACAGATATAACTAATAAGGAAAAATTTGCAACCGTTTTTTTCTTTCACACAACCTCGCATACGTATATTAATTTTTACTCGAGGCTATTTAAGTGAACATCACTTTAAAGTAAACTAATTGTCGAATTCAATTACAAATAATTTCTGATTTTATATGCTTTATTGGGAGTTTCTGTGATCGATGACAAAACCGAGTAATATTCTCGCGTGAATGAGTCGCTAATTGGTTAAGCAGCAATTAGAGGCCAGCCTTACGTCCGCTGTCGTCCGTCCGCGTATGCAAATGTCGCGACATCTTCCATTCCGTGCACGTTGAGAAATCGTCGCCAGTATCCGGTATCGGTGAACCAACGACGGTGTCCAGCGGCCGGCCGATCGTGTAATTAAATAGTAATCGCTCATTACCCGCGATCCGTCATTTGTTGCATTCGTGCGGGTAATCGCAACCGGTTTCGGTGGTATCGTTAACGTTAATCCACGGATTACAAAAAGACTGGAAGCACCGTGGCTTCCCATCCGCGGAAAATTTAATGAACGTTCGAATCAATAAATAATGCTTGAGCCGCGGTTTCCCTCGTTCATCTGACTATTATTGATATTTAATCTTGATTAATAATTTCTCGCGCGTCGGACGACAAGTATCTGATTCGTTTACCAGTTCCTATGAATAGTTGTCAATCGGGAACACAGGCGGATAAAGGTGTCGCGTAGTAATAATGAATATAATTGAGGTACAAGAGTCGAGTTAAAAGTAACACTATAAGCATGTATAAAATGTAATTTAGCATAATTTAATGAGCCGTGTCCAAGGCACTGAGTACCGTACGTGTCTCTGCGAAACGGAAAAAGAACCGATTTCCTCGGCAAGGAACACCGTGCGGCAAAGCGTTACGTGCGATTAATCGTAACCGCGAGCCGGCCGATTGAAATGGTAATTTCGCCGGTCGCGCGTTACACGCGTTTAAACGTTTCAATAGGTTGCTGGCGGAGAATAAGTTAAACCGATACCGCGGCTGGTTCCCCACCTCCTGCCCGTCCCCTCCCCCCCTTCTTTTATTTTTATTTTCGCGTATCCCCCGTATTCAGTATACTCGCTGGTCGCGATTGTTCGCTACGAATTTACATAATTACGAAGCCGACCCGGTAATATACGACGGCTGATTTGCATACTTAATTCCGTAATTGCCGCTTCTTAATTGTTTAGCCGACTGCGTAATTCACCCGGGAACCCGGTTCGATATATCCTCGGGAACGAGACCAGGTGACGTTAATGGTTCACCGTGACGTGATTATCCCCGAGTGTCCGACGATTTCACCCGCACAGATTTTATTCCCCCGTGAAATGAAAATTCTCTTTTTAATGTTCTTACGTGTGTTAATTATTCTGAGGTGTTTCGACGTACTATTTAATGTAGTTGTTGCTCTACTAAGTTAGCCAAGGCTTAAAAAATAAGCAGTTACAAATATAAGACATTTTTGTATTAAAAAAGATGAATTTGTTTATTATTAATACACAGGTTTGTAAAATCTATTGATTTATAGTGAGAAATTCAGTTGTACGGGAGATGAGTTAGGACTTACGTGTTCTTCGAACGCATTTGCAGTCGCAGAAAATAACGCAAGTCACAACTCGGTCGAAAAGTGACTTACACCGTTATGACTCGTACCCCCTGAATTCCAGTGCAGCATTGACTCCTCTACATCAACGTCTTTCTTACCTCGAGTCCTGCAAGCAACATCTCTCTCATTTCATTCCAGTCGACTGTTAATTCTGTAAAAAAAATCTGCGCCGAGCAGGCTTTCTCGCGCAGCGTCGTTAGCGGATCCTCCGTAGACTCTAGGCGCTTCCTAGACGTCGCCCACGGGCGTCCGGAGTTGGCCCCGGATCTGGTTCTCGTCCTGGCAGCGCGGAATCATAGAAGGACGAGTCGAGGCGCGCAGGACGTGGGCTAAAGCGAAAGACGAAAGGGGCTAGACGGCCTGTAATTACGGGAAGCTCGGTTGTGCGCAGCTGAGCCGCCCAGAGCTACTCGAAATTACTCAAAAATAAGACCAAATCGCGGAACGTATCAAATTATATTCCCGCCGATTCCCACTCCCAGTGTTCTTTTTCGCTGGCGTGCCCCGCGACCGAGTCGGTTTCACCGAGTACACGTGAAACGTTCACGTTTCTAAGCCGTCGACCCCGCCGCTAATGCGTTTTTAATTGTTCCCCTAACGCGCCTGTAAACGGCACCGACGCGCGATGCAAATGCGATACACGGATCGCGGCTTCGCTGAATCTAACCACGCTAATAGAGGAACTGAATCGTTGCAGAAACGTTCTTGTTTTCTCTAATATCGAGTTTTCAAAAGCTTTTATAGACATTGGCATTAAAAAGTTCTCTGGCTGAACGTTAAAAAATCAGTGTTTAAATATACCGTAGAAGTTCTTGGTTACTTAAAAGCGAAATTAAATTGTCGCTCAACCGGCAGTCGCATGAAAGTTTCATCCAAGTCGCTTTTGAAGTACAGATCAAAAGTCGTATGACGTATACAATTTTCTTATAACTGACAAACGTATAGTCAACTATAGTCGGTATGATTTTTATAATTTAACATCGTTCCACGTATCAGAGGGGAGATAATCGAAGGCATTTCGTTATGTTGATATTATCTTTTACATTGAATTGATTTCAACGATTGACGGATGCGTGCGCGGCAGGAAATTAGGCGCGACATTATGCGGCGACATTAACGCTTCTATTCATTTGCCTGGCAACTTTTCACGCAATAACGACGTTAATGATTCGTCAGATGTTATCGGATAATAACCGCAATTATTAATAGATTACCGAACAGTGATTCGCGTGGTTTCGTATTAATCGACACCGTTTTACGCGACTGGCCGGCTTTCGTGATCGTTGCCGTTGCCTCTTAACGGCGGGGAATAATTAACGAGCTGGTAATAGCGGTCTTAAGTATACCGGTTACATTTTTCATCGTCTCCTCGGCGATCCTTGAAACCTTCGAACAAATGGACGCCGTTGTAATTGTTCAAAATTCATATTTTTTTAATTACAACCTACGACTCCACGGGCATGGCGCATATGAGATATACATCGAATTTTCGACGCGAAGCTCACGTCTGATTTCAATCGTAATTAAAACGTGACCAATTAGAGGTTCGTAGCGAGAGGGAAAAATTCAGTTCACGAGCAGTCGATCGATCGCAAAGTCGCATTACCATGCGAATGGTTGAAATGTTTACTGGGTCTTTAAGGCACACGCACGATGCTCGTCTCTCTCTCACTCTCTCTCTCTCTCTCTCTCTTTCTATCTCTCGTTCCAGAAGGTCGTCAGAAGACTGCTTTAATGGCCACATCACGTATGCACGCGTCGAGCTTAAATAAGACGCGTTTTCCACGTGCTCGCTCGTTTCTTGCTATCACGGGGCATGCTTGCTCGAGTGTACGTACATCCTTGATGAATCTCGGGTTGCCTTGGCCTGCTGTAAACAATACTTGGAGGATGGTCGAGTCGCGAGGCTCGCCGATCGATTCCGCGTTCTGATTCGTTTTTGCATATATTTTTCAAACATTTTATTAGATAATGCATTTATTTTTCTCGTCAAGAAAGAAACTCTGTACAGTTGAGATTTGAAATAAATTTTATAATGAACGTAAATATTTTAGACGACACTTAAGTAAGTTACGCGTTCTCTGCGAATGTTTCTAGGCCCGGACATACCAGGTTTCCTTCTGCAGCCATTCAGGAAGCCGAAGAGAATAAGGACGGCCTTCAGCCCCAGCCAGTTGCTGAAGCTGGAGCACGCGTTCGAGAAAAATCACTACGTGGTCGGAGCCGAGAGGAAACAGTTGGCGCAAGCGCTTTCCTTGACGGAGACCCAGGTAACGTCCTCCACCTACTCGAGATAAATTAACCTTCTTCTACTTGCAACAGTTCGGATCAATCGTAAAACGTGTCGCTTGATTCCAAAAATTTCTGTCAACCATTAATCAAAATTGAATACAAATTATTTTCTCTTATCTCTGTTCATCTTTTTTGTTCCTTAAATCATTCATATTTATTTATTTATTTATTTATTTATTTATTTATTAATTAATATACGCGTTTGTAAAATCCATTGGTTGTTGAAGTAAATTTAACCGAGCGAGTCTCGGTGGTGAAGAGGGTTAATGAGCATCTCGCCGGGAGAACAATTATATTTCCGCAAAAACGGTTTGCAAAAGTCACGTCGGTAGATAGCATCCGTTCGGCACACGATCGTGTCCGTGGCTAATTACTCGACAATTAGAACAGTAATTACAATGCGGTAGGATGTGCAAGGGTTCAGTCTGTATCAAATTACCGCGTTTAACGAGAACCGCTATTCAATTATCGGGAACGTAGACAAAATTCCATGGCTATCTCACGCACCCTATCTAAACCTGTACACTCGCGACACAGTTTTATTCGTTCGTTAATACCGATTCTTGCCGTAATTGACCCTTTGGGGAATTCTACGATCTCGGATCTTGCTAATATGCATTTCGAGTCTGAGATAAAAATCAATACCTCTCGTGTTACTCTTATACTTCGGTTCATGGCGGAAATACGTATGTGTGGGAAAAGAAAGTTTGTACATATGTATTTTTTTATATAGTTTATTCTCATAGATTTATTAAAATCTATTTTACATTTCCATATTATTATACATATTTATATTTCTATATTTCACCTCTGACCTGTTCTAATGCTATCAAAAATTGGCATAAACTTTCTGTATAGCCCAATAAAATTCATCTTTCATCAGTGGTTTCTGATAATCCGCGCCTGCTGCACTCCGTAATTCCCAAACTGTCTCGACAACTGTCTGGCGTATCCCTCGCGAGGCCAGTTTCCAACGACCCATTGACTTTTATTCCCCGTTTAATGGCGCGAGGCTCGGCAAAAGTAAGGGCAGCCTCGGGTAACGAGGGGTTTGATATGCTAATAACCGATCTCAGGAGGGGTGGCGAGTTTCGTCGTTGCGTGTTTATGATCCAGCGTTGGATGTGCGTCCGCGCGCGACGCCGATGCGTGTTCCACAGCTCCAGATGTGTTACGTGCGTACGTATCACAAGTGTGTTACGTATTCCATGGGCGTAACGCGGGTCCAAAAAAGGGAGAGGGCCCTGGAAACGGGGAATAAGAAGCGTGGTGTGTGTGTGTGATTGTGAATTAAGTCGGGAGAATGGAGGATCATTGCTCGACGCCATGTTGGTCGAAACAGGCTTTTGCTCTTTTGTGTCCTCATCCTCCCCTTGTCCGTACGAATTACGACGTGTGAGAATTTTCCACACGGCAATTGGTAGATCAAACGTTCTGCTAGAAGATCTTAATTGTATCTGTTGATAAAACGCTGGTCGTTAGTATCTCTATGCTCGGAACACGAGTTCTTTCTGTTCGTGCTCGCGATTCGATGGGCCGATTCGCGTATAATGTATTCGGCGGTTAATAGCCGAGTTAATCGCGCGTAATTAGGGCCCTAATGAGGGCTACCGGGTCGCGTGTAACGCACACTCCGCTTTATGAATCTTAACAACCGCGAGAACAAGTCGCTTACCTGTTCGCGTGCACGCGATTCGTCTTTACACTACGCGACGGACGTAAGCATATTTTCACGTCTCCCGAGCGAGAAGTCTCTTGAACTCTAATTCGGTTTTCATTGCACCGTCACTCGCTCTTCTTATTAATCAATCTTGAAACTAATACCGGTCGATTAATCAGTCTTTCGACTTTGTATCGACGTCGCAAGAGTTCCTGATGTATCTTAATAAACTATCGCGGAATTAGCAATCGGGAGAGGTACAGACACTCTGTCAACCCGGAGCAGCAATCCTAGATTAATCGTTATCGCGGAGGAGCGTAAGCTTCTCCGTCCCAGGAAACCCTGGAAACATCATTACGCCATAGCGGGCAATTAATCACATCTATCAGTTTTTCTTACTCCCTACTCCTTATCTTCGCTTCGCAATAGTTGTCTTCCGTGCAGCGATGTTTACCCGATGTGTGTCGTTGCCGCGGATTTATTAGAGAAAGTTAAAGCCGTTTCCAAGTGTATCGCTTCGTGACGACACGTATGCACGCACACGTGTACGCACCATCGGTTAGCGCAGCTCCAAATCATCAACATTATAGCGGCATCGGTATTAATCATCGCCGCGAAATATCCGCGATCGAAACCCGAAGAGGGATCCGGAGATTGATCGTTCTCCAGCGATCTTCTAATCAATTAAAGTCGTCAGCGTGGTATCAATTTTAAAACCTCGGCAGGGAAATGATTCCTGTCAATTAATTTTCTCCCAGGGTTGTGAAAACGCATAGGCAAGCTCGTCGATCTCTTAGACATTGTTGTTTGTCCTCGAACGAATGAGGACGTGTTTTAAGATTGTAGCCGTAAGATCTCTGCCAAAGCTAATATGACAAACCGGTATTAGGAAAATTTTTAGGAAAAGTTATATTTACAGAGAAATTAGGTTGATAAATCTGTACTACGTATTTTTT